ACAAGTAAACAACAAAACAGCAACAGGTGAAGAAGTGCCTCAAAATATTATGATTACTACAAGACAACAATATGGTTTGCCAGAAGATGCAGTTGTTTATTGCAATTTTAATCAATTATACAAAATTGATCCGCTCACACTTCATATGTGGGCACATGTAAGTTTATTGTCCTTTTTGTAATAAATTTATTTTATCGAAAATATTATTACTTTCTTTATATTAATACTAAATTTTAGATTCTAAAACATGTGCCAAATTCTGTGCTATGGTTGTTGCGCTTTCCGGCCGTTGGTGAACCAAATTTACAAGCAACAGCTCAACAATTAGGTTTAGCTCCTGGTAGGATCTTGTTCAGCAATGTTGCTGCAAAAGAAGAACATGTTAGAAGAGGACAATTAGCCGATGTATGTTTAGATACACCTCTTTGCAATGGTCATACTACTAGCATGGATGTTCTATGGACTGGAACTCCAGTAGTTACGCTACCAGGAGAAACTTTAGCATCTCGTGTTGCTGCTAGTCAATTAAATACTTTGGGATGTCCAGAATTGATCGCACGAACACGACAAGAATATCAAGATATTGCTATTCGTTTAGGAACTGATAGAGAATAGTAAGTAAATTATTTTTTTAATTTTTAATTTTGAAACTTTAAGCTTTGTATATTTTATATAAATTCAATTTTTTTCTTTTTTCAAGTTTAAAAGCAACACGAGCTAAAGTATGGAAAGCAAGATCCGAAAGTCCTTTATTCAATTGCAAATTGTATGCGATGGGTATGGAAATGCTGTACAAAAAAATGTGGGAACGTTATGCCCGAGGTGAAAAACCAGATCATGTATCAGCAGTAGATAAAAATGAAAGAGAAAAATTATTAGCAGCTGCATCTTAATGGTTTTCAAATATCTGATTTTATTTATACAGCTTTAATTTTACATCTGTTTTTTTGGAAATCTAGTATTTAAAACAGATGATTAATAATCGATTTCATGAAAATATTGATTCTTATATAAATTCCGTATTCTGATATTTACTATTTTATATAATAAATCATCGAGCTTTAGAGTAACGTAAGATAACGTTACATGCGAACGTTCAATTAAACATTTGACGTTTTAATATTAAAATTATGGATTGTTACATTATGCAAATCATAAGAAATAATTACATTCATTTCTTATGTTATGCCACTACATCTTTTATCTTATTATTTATACATATAAGATTATTGTAGAATGTTCTCAAAGTATCTTATAAAGTCAGATGTCTTATATGTTTCGTTTTTCTTTATTTTCTTTTGTTTTTGTTTTGTTTTTTTAAATATTGCCATAATTAAAATGGGAATATATAAGACTAAATTTTTTTTTTTTTTTTTTTTTTTTTTT